AGAACCATATCATACTTCCAAGTACGACGCATATTGTGTGATGAGCTGATAGAGGTGATGAACCTTCATGGTATTAAGTCTACTGAGCTGCTTCAGACTATTTGCGAAACGTTGGTTTGAGCTCGAGTAGCAGACGTCCAGGCTAGACATTCGAGCATAGCTCATTATGGTTCGTGTAGCTCGTATGTGGAACAAACTTCTATATCTATCTGACGTGGCCTTCACTATGGTTCATACTTTTTATTTATTTATTGGAATCTGCCGCTTTGAATCCTCATGTTACAAACTCTGCGGCTAATTCATGAAAGTACAAAGATTGCTTTCGCTTTTGCTTCACTTCGTTTGCAGAAACATGGAGTCGCTCAGCTGTTGCAGTGCCTAAGGTTTTGATTTGCTTTCCGCTACAAGAAGCAGGACGTTCATTATGCGGAAGTATGTAGCGTCCTCGGAACATGACCTGAACTGACTTGCGCTTCGTATCTGTTGGTTTCTTGCTGCTTCCTGTAGTGTCATTTCTTTATGTGATGGCAACGCGGGACAATTCTAATGCAAATTTCCCCATTTTTATGTTTTCTGTTAGTTGACCATTTCTTTACTATTCGGTTTCGTGGTTTCTTTTAGTCTTGGTCTGGAATAGTCGTTTATGGTTTTACATTTAATTCATAATCCACGAAACACTTTACTATCTGGTTAGCGTAAGAAGTTGTATGGTTAATCCGAAAATCCAAATTAAGGTCCCGTTATTGTTTTTACAACTCAATTGCGCAATTCTCAGTTGCGCAATTCCCGTCCATTAGCAAATATCGATTGGGGATGATGAAGCTGGTACTTCACTCAGGCGGAAGTTGACATCGACAAGTTACGGAGATTATACCTGACACGTCGTTGCTTGGGGGTATTTATGACGCTGCTTTCTGCTTTCGAGTAACTCCGCCGTCCCGCAACCTTAAGGATCATAAGCCTGCCTGAGGTCGCGGATTCGAGCCTGCGTAGGGGATCATGACAACCTTCGCAGTATCCTTAGCCCACGCGCGACTGGTGGTAGTTTCGTGGCAGCGAAGCATCGGCACTGCGTATTTGCGTACTGCTGATGCCTACCTCGCCGCTGATACTGTATCCAACTGCCCGCCGTGCATTGTCAGACAGAATGGAATTAGGGATTATTTTACGATCTGACACTACTTTAGTCCTTGTGATACGGATGCACTATACAGTAGGCTCGGGAGTGACTTGATTGTCTTTCAGCGTACTTTGACGGGAAAGATCGCCACTGTTTTGTCCTGGTTATTTAGTCCTGTTTTTTGACAGTGTCAGTGGTTATCCTTTAAGGCTGCATATGCTGTGCTCTGGCCGAATAAGCAATGCAGCTCAGTTATCATGGGGCCTTATGTAACGAGAGGAGGCACTTCAATGCCACCAGGCTACCAGCGGTCGCATGCGGCCTAAAGTTTCCACCACTACCCGCATCTATGCCAGCTCAGGTCTACAATTTGTGGATTACGGACCAAATGCCTTGACCATCTTGCCACCGACATCATCATAAGCAATACACGTTAGCTGAGGGTGTGAAACACGCCTCAGCAATTGTGCCGCAATAAAAAGGAAGGTACTAAACGTTACAGAATACAAAACCTTAACAAAACAAGTAATATAACCCTATCATATTATAGATTGCATGTGAGATCGTGCTTGAAGAGGGAAGTGAAGTGGGAGAGCGACAAATACACTTAACATCTGCTCTGGATGTTCCGTTTTGTACTCCAGCAGACCACGTCAATTTTCAGCCAAATGATCCATACAATGAGGAGCAGTCACGGCGTTCTCCTATCGTTTTAGCAGTACTTAAAATCGAACCTCAATCGGTTAGGAACACTACTCATCACATTAACAGCATTTTCTGCATTCTAGTTCCTACAACCTGCGTCCCGACAGTCACCGAGTTTTCTTATGACATGATCATGATATGGTTTGCGTAGCTTCATAGCTTAATAGAACAACTTGACATAATCGGCTCGGTTGGCTAGGTTAAGTGCAGGTCATTTCCTCTATAAAATTTTTATAAGTAGGCTTTGCGTCGCACTCGTTTAGGGCACGTCTTTCCTGGTGCATCTTAAACTAACCTAATATCATTTCATAAATCATTACCTCGGAAAATGCATTTTGGTCACTCTCCTGCTCCATAATATCCGGGTTGCGTGAAAGTAACGAGCTTGCCTTGTAATGTGACGGCGCGTGTCCGAGCCTGCGTAGTCGCAGGGCGACCTTCGCAGTATCCTTAGCCTACGTAGGACCGATGGTGGTTGCGCGGCAGCGAAGTGTCAATACTATGTACCGGCGTACTGCTGATGCCTTTTGAGAACAATTTCGCAAGCATATCATTCGCTGTGCTTCCGAACGATCGGCGAATTAATCGACTCATCAAAGTTTTTATCATCAGATTCATTGGGTAATCGAAGCCTTAAAGACTGGACGGCACGTAAATCAGCCTGATGAGTGACCGGCATAACTTTCGGCTTCCGTGTAGTCTGTTGTGTGGTTTTTTCATCCTTCATTATGTGATCTTCATATTTCTCCAGTATTTATTTGTCGCCGTTTCACCTGTTGTTAACTGTTTCGTCGTGATCGGACTGCTGCTACTCATCCTTTTTCTATCTCTAAATTGTCTTGTGCTGATGATATTGCCTTACTTTGTGATGACGCACAGAGCACATAGGCTGTTCTAAACCTCTTGGCGATTGAAACGTCAAAACATGGCATGACTTTTACCCTTACAAGATGCAAACTCCTGGCCTTGGATCGGCTTCCACCTGCCCCAGTGCTCACTCATCAAATTACGCAACTTGGACATGTGGACAACTTTGTTTATCTGGGAAGCTGTATCTCTGCTGGTGGTAGCATTGGAAAAGAGATTGCCTTCCGCATTACCAAAACTCGTTCGGCGTTCGCCAACTTGAGGCATCTGTGGCGAAGCTGTGACCTTTCACTATTGGTAAAGGGCAGGGTCTACAATGCCTTTGTTCGCGCGGTGCTGCTGCATGTGAGTGAGTCCTAACCGATTCGTGTGAATGACTTGCGTCGGATTTCGGCCTTTGATAATGGATGTCTGCGGAGAATAGCTTGAGTGTGGTGGATGAACCACGTATACAACGCTTTGGGTAACACGGGGACTTCTACTTGGCAGACTGGTACCGCTGCGTCAACTGAGATGACTGGGCCATGTTTTACGCATGGCATGCGAACGGTTGCCCCGATATGCTCTCTTCGTTCCCACAGGACTAGGCTGGAATGAATCGTGCGCTGGTCAGCCTTTCATGGGGTGACAAACGATTAAACCGTTGACTTCCAGTTTAGCTGTCCTAGGTCCCGTGCATCTTCCGGGCTGGGGTACACAGATGACGAACACCCGCTGGCTGGAAAGTCTTTCGGTGATGGCGCAGAACTGGACCTAATGGCAAATAGGTACGGATATTTGGCTTAGTGTTTTTGATTTACATCGCAAACATTAACCAGACAAAAATGATAAAACGGCGTGTGAAAAAAACAAACAAAGGCAAACAATCTTCAAAAACAAAATCTTTTTGTAACTTTCACCGTTTTCTTCCCTGTGGTATCTGTATTTATTCTATTTCGTGCTTTTCGCTGGCTCTATGTCTATCTTATGGACTGTTGCACATGTATATGGTTGGCGGCATCCGGTTTCAGATTTGCTTGTCACTGTGGCCAGCCACATGACGCCTGCGCCTACAGAAGGACCACGGGTGGCTTGCGCTGTACCACCCACAGCTCCAACCACACACCCCGTATCCAGTGTAAACCCGTAGGAATAAGACCGGGAGGCATGCGGATGGGAGGCACGTTTCATCAACGGAGCCGGCCCACACTCCTTCACAGACAAACACAAGCATGCTGTATTTGGGGAATCAAGTGCACACAAGGCGGTGGCTGGACCGTAGTCCGCTCCACACTGAGTGCATGGAACCGCTTTTTGAGCCTAGCACGGCCACAAGAACCGTGCACCCCGTCCCCTCCAGCAACGACCAACTGTCTCCTGGAGCCAGTATGGAAGAGGTAGTGGGTAATAGACAGGTAGGCACCCTGTCAACATGCACATCAAGTGCAATCACACCTGGGATGTCAAACAACAGCCAATCATTCGAAATGCCATTATCATATAAAAGATATCGAATAAACTAAACGCATATGACGACATAAATACTCGCGAAATTAGCATATGGAGTAAATTGGTTATAAGCGAATCCGCGATAAGTACAAAATGTCCGAAAGTTATTGAAAAATTACCACGTGATAAAGTTACGTTGGGTTACCATAATTAGCATGAGCGACGTGTGCAGATTATGAGATTATTCAGTACGCAGAATAAACCAAATAAAGTGGAATGAATTTTATCCACATTAAAAAGGCATAGTTTAAGTGTAAGTTGGTTTAGCCCAACTGCGATGAAGAAGCATCATGAATGCTACATCAGCAGCCTAAGCATGGGGCGCATATATATATATATATATATATGCAGCCTATAAGCTTCTTAGCCTTTCCCGTTTATTTACAGTTTTTTATAGGAGTCTTTGGGAATGACAACTTTATTTGTCACACGTCAACCCTGTTCGTTCAATAGTTAGACTGCACTGTTAGGCTCCATCAAACTTTCAGTACTTCGAAATAAACTCTTATCCTTCAAGCTACTGACCTTGCTTTACATCTCTGCTTTAGCCACTTTTGCGGTGAACAGGATTCGAATCACTGGTCTACTAGAATCTAGAATTGCAAAAGCGCTCGCTATTACATAGCAACAGCTTCTCATTACAAAGTACTGGAATACACACAGTTTTTCCTTCGATATGTGCAGTGGCCTCATAGGACAATGGGCCTATTTCATCCCTTATTATGCTTTCGACTTTTTTGTCTCTCGCTTGCTTTTGGACTTTACCTAGACTCCTCTCTCTTTTAACCAATCCTTCGGTCTCTTGTTCTTTACTTTAGCTATGGCCAGTATTCGAGTCATTCCGTTAGGTTTGTGCGTTTCGATCTACCAAAACTACAGTATAGGTGCCGGACAAGACGTTGGACGAAGCTGCATCCTCGTCAGTATGGGCGGGAAGAACATTATGCTGGATTGTGGCATGCACATGGGATACAATGATGACGTAACGTCCGTTTCCGTTTCGGTTCAGTTTTTACTCTTTCAGCGCCGTTTCCCAGATTTTTCATACATTGCCGAGAATCAAAGTCTAACGGAGTACCTTGATTGCGTTATTATTAGCCACTTTCATCTGGACCATTGCGGTGCTCTACCTTACATGACCGAGGTTGTCGGGTACGATGGACCTATTTACATGACCCATCCGACGAAGGCGATCTGCCCAATACTTTTGGTATTCATTTCGATCTTCACACAAACAATTTGAATCCACTCAGGACGACTATCGTAAAATTACCGTGGAGCGGCGTGGTGAACAAAACTTCTTTACCTCCGAGATGATCTACCGGTGTATGGCCAAGGTTAAGTGTGTGTACATCCATGAGACAGTTAAGGTAAGGCTGATTGCGTCTCTTCTCATTGTCATGTATTACAGGTGGACGATGATCTTGAGTTGCAAGCGTTTTACGCAGGACATGTGCTTGGGGCCGCTATGTTTTTAGTACGCGTTGGAACGCAGTCTGTTCTTTATACAGTACGCCACTTACTCCTCCTATCAAACGTAGAGCCTCCTTTTAGGGTGACTACAACATGACACCGGATCGTCATTTAGGAGCCGCATGGGTTACAAGGTGCTGTCCAGATCTATTAATCACTGAAAGTACCTACGCTACTACCATCCGTGATTCGAAGCGAGCTCGAGAGCGGGAGTTCTTAGAGAAAGTTCATGCACGCGTTGAAGCCGGTGGCAAAGTGAGTTGTACCGTTCACACGCTTTAGGTCTGCCATGTAGGTCCTCATTCCTGTATTTGCTCTGGGTCGCGCTCAAGAACTATGTATTCTGCTCGAATCCTACTGGGAACGCATGAACATTTCGGTCCCGATTTATTTTTCCATGGGGATGGCAGAAAAAGTGAGCGGTTTTGATTCATTTTGTTCATTCTTGCCACATAGGCTAACGAGTACTACAAACTGTTCATTTCCTGGACGAATCAAAAAATTAAGGAGACGTTCGTTCATCGAAACATGTTTGACTTTAAGCATATTAAAGTAAGTGGATTCTTGCCGAATCTGTGGTTTTGCTGTTTGCTGACCGTACCCTTGCATAAAACACATATATGTTTATTCTTCTTGTTCACCTGTAATTTGTAGTAACAGTTACTGACGCTTCTTGGATTAGCGTTTACTTCTTCTGAAGGATCGCCTTTGTATCCATGCCACACGGCTTTTGGATTGGCCTTCGTCTGCTTTCCCTCCGTCTACTTGTAAACATCGGATAGTTTGCTCTTGGAGGGGTTCTAGATTGCTCTACCTCAAATACCTCACCCCATAGGTGGAGGTGCAATGAAGCTTACATTATCTACACACCTGGTCCCTTTACATTGTTTCAGTTGTCATCATCATCATCATCATCAACAGCAGTACATCAGCCATTTGAACTGATGCTTCGCTGCCATACAACCATGAGGACCTATGAAATAAAGAATAAGAAGAGGGAGAGAAGGGGGACTTACCTGAAAACCTTAATGCCCTAAGCAAACATTCAGGGTCAAGGCGCCTACACCTTGTGTAGACAACATACCGTCACAAACAGCTGGCTATCGTGCAAAAGATAAGGCGGCATCGGCGAGACAGCTTCCTTGCGGCTTTCACTGCCACGCGTCATAATCAGCCATTACCCCCGCAGATAACTCAGCACCAAACACACTTTAAACAGACAATCCGATTAGAAGACGGCAGCAGACGCGCCACTGGTGTCGGTTGCGAGCCATGTCCTGTAAAGTCTCGAGCCAAGCACAAGGTGAGTCACGTGGACTCCAGCCCGGAAGGCGAGACGGACCAACGGCACCCAGTTTAGTTGTCAGTGACTTCATTTCCCGCTGCCAAGTCAACTTCTGTCCACCTCGAGCCTTGCGCCATCCTACACCTGGTAGACTGAACAAGGCTCTCCTAGGTAAGCGGTGACCAGGCATGCGTAGCACGTGCCCGAGCCAACGTAACTTAGTCAGTGCCATCTGTTGTTCTAGGGAGCTAACATGATTATCACCACCTAGTACTCGCCTACGCACATCATCGTTGCGGACACGCTGGTGCCATCCGACACCAGCAATGCTTCGCAAACAACGATGATCAAAGACTTGAAGGCGCCTCAGATCTTCAGACCGAAGGAGCCAAGTTTCACTACCATAGAGCAGAACGGCCCTCACTGTGGCCTTGTATACACGGTCTTTCAGACGAAGGGAAACTCCCTTCTGTCGCCAAAGATGACGCAGGTTCAAGAAGGCAGCTCTGGCCTTTGCAATGCGTGAGCTGACGTCAGTTTCTATGCGCCCATCATTGCTGATGCAGCTGCCAAGATAAGTGAATTGATCAACCACCTCGAGTTCCTCGTTAGCAAGCGTCAAGGGGTCATCAAGTGGCTGGTGGTCCAGCAGCAACACTTTGCACTTTGGAGATGCGAACTGCATACCAAATAATGGGACCACTCTAGATAGGCTATTCAGGGTTGACTGTGCCACCTCAACATTGTCGAAAAGCAAGACGATATCGTCCGCATAATCTAGGTCAACTAACCTTTCACCAGGCAGCACTTCAACGCCTACATCATGAGATTCCGCAAGGGAACACTCCATGATAGAATCCACGACGAAATTGAACAAAAACAGGGAAATCGGACAACCCTGACGAACGCCACTTGTAGTCGAAAAGCTATCCAATAGGGCACCATATACCCTGACGCGGTCTGTAGTGTTCGAGTATAGAGCACGAAGGATGTTCACATATTTCGTGGGAACACCTTTTCGCGCAAATAATTCGAACAGAATCGATCGATCGACTGAATTGAACGCACTCTTGAAGTCGAGGAACACAGCTATTGTCGGTCTGCGGTATGCGTGGCGCTGCTCTAGCACCTGCCGCAAAGTAAATATATGGTCTATACAGCCACGTCCTGGGCGAAAACCGGCCTGCTCTTCCCTAATCCGAGATTCCCGTTCTGCAGTGAGGCGACGAACGAGAAACGAGGCCAGTAATTTTGTCACAACTGGCTTTAGGCTAATACCCCTGTGGTTCGCACAGTCTGTGCGACTGCCCTTCTTGTATATTGCCACTATAATCGATTCGCTCCAATTAGCCGGCACACACACTTCGTTCCAGATACGTTCGAATAGGGAGGTCAGTGCCCTGCAGAGGACCTCACCTCCATCCTTAAATAGTGCAGGTGGGAGGGAATCCGGGCCAGCGGCACGAAAACGACTGAGGGCTGTGATCGCGTTTCGGACCTCGGCCTCCGACGGAGGCTCTAAACTAACCGTCCATGGCACGTCCTGCATCACCTGAGTAGGAAGAGGTCCGGGAGCAGGGGGCCGGCTGAACTGATCTTCAAAGTGTTCAGCCCAACGAGCCATACGGCGTTCCTTATTGTGTATCAGCGCGTCCGCGCTGTCCCTGATTGTCTCACTGACGCCTGGTTTTCTGGGACCAGTGGTGCGGATTAGCTGGAAGAGCTTGCGGTAAGTGCCTACTGCTCCTGCCTCCTCCATTTCTTGAGCCTGAGTGGTCCACCATGCTTCCTTGTCAGCACGTAGGCTCCGCTTTAGTGCACGCCTAATAGCCCGTCTGGTCACATTGTGTTCATAACCAGCCGGGAGATGTCTTCTAGCTTCCAGCAGGTTCACGGACCTCTCGGATATCCAGTGACTTTTGCGATGACGACTGATAGTGCCACAAACAGATGCTCCTGCGTCGTGCATAGCGGCCGAGATTCTATTCCACTGAAGTTCAGTGTCATTGGGACAAGACAGCGAGAGTTCGCTATGCAATGCTTCTTGATAGGCTTGCCTGACAGAGGGCTGGGACAATTTCTCCGTTGCCAATCGGGGGAGACGCTTTGTGCGCCTTCCGGTAAAGTTCATGGAGAAACGACAGCGCACCAAGGCATGGTCAGAGTCGACACAAGTACTCCAGTACGAGCGGCAATCCAGAATGGAACCGCGCCACCTGTAACTTATGGCTATGTGGTCAATTTGGGTCCATCGCTGGCCAGCTACAGGTGGACGCCAAGTGGCACTTCGGCGCCCACGGTGTCTAAAAGCAGTGCTAGTAAGAAACAACTGGTGCTCCGCCCACAGTTGCAGGAGACGCTCGCCGTTGTCATTCCGTACGGCGTGAAGTCCATAATTACCGCCCTGCTGAGCTTCTGAAGAGCTCAGACGCCCTACTTGTACGTTCATATCCCCTGCAAGTACTATAGTATCTGAACTAGTAGTACTGCGTAGCAGAGTGTTCAGTTCGTGATAGAAAGTGTCCTTGACTGCATTAGAACTGCAGTCGGTGGGAGCATAAGCAGAAATCACAAACAAACAGCGTTTTATTTTACTTCCCGAATTCACCTTAGCAGATGTCGTCAAACGGGCTGCACATAAACGGCTGTTCACCGGAATCCAATCAACCAACGATGACAGCCTTGGAGCTGAGAATGATCCCTACAACAGCTTGACCCGTGAGTGCCGCATCGGCGTCTCCGGATACGTGCAACCAATAACGAGAGGATAAGCCGGGTGCAGTCAATTCAATAACCCCGATAGGGTCATTAATCCTAGTTTCGTACACCCATCATCATTATCATCATCATACACGTTAGCTAGAGGTGGGAAACACCTCAGCTACTGTGCCGCAATACAAAGAAAAAAAGGGAGAGCAAAAAATAACAACAATTGGTGAAAGCTGGCTGAGCTACCGGTAACGGATGGGCATCGTTCCGGTAAGCTACCAGCCGGCTGCTGTGCACCCAAAAAAATTATTATGCAAAATTATATAAGGCTAAGTAATGAGATCGTGGTTGGAGGGGGAGGCTAAGAGGGATGGGATGGGACAAAGAAACTCAGACACCCAACACACATCAACACCCAGTGTGTCCAAGGTGCGTGCGAGTGCAGCCTGCTGACCTGTTTCTCTTAGAGTGCGGACGTTGAATGTCGCCATGGAAAGGGGACAGCGTGGCCTTATAAGGGACTTTTGTCGATAGGCGTCCGATAGGTGCTGTGGGATGGTGGCTGCAGACGGTACTACTCCAGTAGCACTTCGGTTGCTGTCAATTCATCTGGGAATTATAGAAGGAAGATTAGTAATAGGGGCCGGGATGGGAGTAAGAGAAAAAGGTGGAAAAGAAAGAAGGGAGGCGCCAGCAGTAGCATATTTTCGCTTATCTGCCCTGCTGTATGCAGCAGATAAGGCGACCCTTGATAATCTGCGCGACGGCCGATGCAGGATGAAGTTTATGTTTGAAGAAAATGTCATGGTTGTATGTGGGCTGGGTTACTGCCAGGGCGCCCAGACCTAGACAGGAGAACGATTAGGGTCCTCATCCAAAGCCTTTGGCTCAAAAGCCTGTCCGCAAGGCAGCGGAGTGGCAGTGATTTAGTTTTACAGAAATGGACGCCATCTCATTTCAAACCCCCAACCTGGAGGACCAGGAGACTGAGTTTGTCTGACCTCTCACCATTGACCAACCTGGTAGGAGTAGCTCTCAAGATGCTCGGAGGCAGCACCCAGTATAGCTCAATGGGTCATTGAGGTACGCAAACCGTCGCACCACGTTAGGGTCCAGTCTCGTTGCGACGGTACGCTGTGGTTTTTTAGATTGACGTCAGTAGACCAAATCTGAGCAGGAATGCAAAGGTTAAGATCAACACTCCAATCCTGTTTAACAAAGTAAAACAGCCGGGTGGAGGAGTTTATGAGTGGGACAACCTTACCCTATTCAGAGCGTTGCTTTCACATAAAGCTATGGTATATCACAAGTGGGACTTCCTTTAACCACAAGCCACTGTTGACGACATTTGGTCTGTCGCGTTACTTTATCTGGGCTAGATGCTGTAAAAGAGTGTGGGCTGTGAGCTCTCAAGTATCTACCCTGCTTGTTCGCTCTGGGAGTACAGTTGCCATTAATGTATACAAAAAACTGCTGTTATACCTACTTCGAATCCAGTGTGGAGTTTTGCTCGCTTAGCTTGACTGCCTGGACACAGCTGTCACTGCCTTCACCACTTGAAACGGGATCCCCAACCCTACATATTCTCGTTCATTTGATATATTTTAGTTGGGCTGATTGCTGTTTGCTATAGTTCGCGATTCATGCCTGCTTCTAAGCAAATTTCATACTTCGCGCTTATGTTACTTGTATGCTATTCCTTCACCAGGCTGTTGGTCCAGAGGTTGTGGTTTTGTCATCCTCCAGCTTCATCTGCGTAAACCCCGGATAACTTTACTGGACCTCGCAAGCACACAACCATTGGCAGCAGCGGTACAATACGCAGAACCTGCGGAAAAAACATATTGGCTATTATTCTTTACCCCACTGAATCACTGCTTCAGACAAGCTGCACTCGCCATTGTGCGAACCTGTCTGCACTTGTAGATTGACTCGACGATTAAATTCTGTGGCACTAGGGAATATCAATTCAATCAAACAACACCGTGCTCGTTTACTGCTGGTTGCGGTTTAGACGAAAGGCCCGGGATTGGTTCTCTCCCGTATGAACGAAAGGGAAACTTGCTACTACCAACCAGAAATCTGGTCATCTTGAATAACGGTAGCTTAATGCAAATAACTCAGCAAACCATAGGCAGAAACAAGTATGCTCCAATGAAAATATGCAAAAGCTGCAAGTCAGGGTAATTTGCGAAAATATTAATAATTTAATGGTGTACTAAACTCAGCCTCCTATTACTGTTCAGGTTTTGTTCGTTTTTTGTACGCTCCTACCAGGTTGTCTCACTTCATAGTACCGTCTATGTTACCATTGGTAACCGGAGCAGTTATCCCGTTGAACAAAATATTCCCACTCAGCTATCTCATTCAGATTAGAATCAACTCTAGTCATGATTTCAGCTTGGAACTATGAATTCGAATTTAACTTCTACTTCGGTGCTTCTCAACACTTTGGTAATCCATAGCTCAGTTAAAAGCTCTGGTGGACGAAAAACCGCTCTTTATACAAAACGTTCTGAACTTACGAATTCTTAGTCGGCAACTACTTTTTGAATTACCGATCTCTACCGTGGCTCACTGGATGCACTCAAACATGTCACCGCTTAAAACAGTATAGAGGATCATTACTAACTGGCTGTTCTTATTGGTAATGCGCGCACAAGCCACTTTTGCTTACGCTTTGGGCTGGTTCCGTATAATAACCGTCGTGGGATGTCAAAATTTCTCCCTTCTTCGAAACCAATTAGTGTGCTTTATGCGCACAAGCAATTTTCGGTACAGCACTACGCCCCCGTTAGAGGTTCCAGAATGGGATACGTATTCTTGACAATACATTGATAATACTTATGAATGGAAGGATTTTGATGAGTATTTTTGTTCGTCGCAATCAGCCGACAATTCAGATATGTCGACCAGCTGTCCGGAAAAGCACCAGACGGCCGTTTCGCCCTATTGGGGCTCATCAGTGGTGCGCATCCTTCGGTCCTCTGCGGAGGATCGAACCCATGACTGCTAGTGGCTCTTGCCAACTAGCCCGCAGCTTATGCAACTGCGCCATGGAGGACGGTATATGACTATCGTGAATTGTTAGTTAAATGCGATATAGCCCGACGCATCCTCCACTGCCATGCAGGCACCTGCCATGCAGATGACAGCGGTCGGCCTTCCGGCGTCAGGACTTCCCGGTTACGGCAGCTATGAATCGACTGGTGCTTTTCCGGACAGCTGGTCGACATATCTGAATTGTCGGCTGATTGCGACGAACAAAAATACATTGATAATATCTGAAATAATCACAGCGGTTCCGTAAGAGGTACCGATATGCAAAATAGGTTATTCGCTTCTAAATCTTCTCTCTTCTAGGCAATTCCGGTTGAACTAATCCTAGCCAAGATCAATAGTCAACGTTTCTGGACTCAGACGCAACCGAAATAAATGCGAATAATGTGAAATTCAGCGGATGTTTATATGTCAACAAAGATGTTCAAGTTCTATACCATCTAGGCCGGTTTAGTTTTACTCCGATCAACGAGAAGGTAGGGACATACATCACTAGGAAGACTTATGTGTTGTTGCCGTCAAACTTGCTGTGTGGAGTGCAGATATGTCAGCAACGAGTTGAAGTGAATACTTTTCCCTCACCATATATATATATATATATATATATATACTTAAAATCGGGTCACAGATAGTGCGCCATCCGAACCATAGTAAAAGAAACAGGAAAGAAAAGGTGACGAAAGCAAAAGAAAACGTTCTTTAGTTTTGCATACGACATTTTGCAGCTTTGTTTTGGAATTTGTTTTTTATCTCCTATTTGAGATTAACTAATAGAGGATACCGCCGAACAACACTGGCGCCGCTGTCAGTTACTCGCCGTGGTGTCCAACGTTCCCAATCACTAGGAGTCATAGTCCCCTTGGCTGCAACTTAGAAGTCGGACCGGTCTGACTGATGCCAAGCTTGAGGTTGCTTTCTTCGTGCTCACTTTCCGCATCATTGGTTGCCTGCCTCGACACTTTTTCTAATCGCCTCACATGATTACGCTAGTCGTACTGCAGCGTTATGTATCTTACTTTGACCTATAAGTCCATGTCACTTTGTCCCTACAAATGATTGGGATTTTAAAAAGCCTAATGCATCCGGTAATGCGGCTACCGTGGCTGATACATCAACCACGGTGCGTGAACCATGTTTCTTAGCAGCACCCACTAGCTGAGTACGTCTCAATGCGAATCTTGTATCATAACTGCTTTGCTACATTCGGTGAAGCGAATGTTTACTGTTTTCCATATTCATTTAACTTCACCTTCACAAAAATTTTTTAGCCTCTCGGCCAGGGCATCATTTACAATCCTGGTCCGATGGTGGTGTTTGCCACCTCTAGAATGTTGCACACTGGACAGTTGCTACACATATTCCGCAAATGGGCTCCGGACGAACGAAACATGGTCATTATTCCAGGCTATTGCGTGGCCGGTACAATTGGGTACAAGGTTCGTTTCACCTCGTTCGTGCCTCTCTCTTACTTTGAATGTGTTTTATCCTTGCCAGTCGTGTACGAGATTTGGCAACAATCGAAACGGTGCACTCTGCATGTGTTGCATGCTTGTACCTTTCAATACTCAGTCGAAGTTGCCCCGAGAATTCGGAATTCCCCCACGAAAACGTCTCATATGCAGCACAAAAGGCTTGATGAGACCGTTGGGTGCTCCTTTCGGCTGTCAGAGCTGTTCCGAAATTATGGTGACTTTACGACTGAATATTCCAGTGACTATTCACCTCAAAACACTTCGAACTGTGCACCTTGTGGGCTTCTGCACACCTATCGGCTGACACGTCGATCAGACCTGTACCTAGCTCCTTTGGTGTACTGTTTTGCAGCATTTTAGCAAATGAACTGCTTAATCTTGCCATCACAAAAATATTCTGTATTCTTGCAAGCCCCCCAACAGAAGTACTTACTCATGTAATGTCGGCCGGTGGCCGAGTGGTCTGCGCGCCTGGTTTTCAGTTATAAGGTCACCGGTTGAAATCCGCATAGGGGGTGCTGGTCGCATGGCAGCGAAGCGTCGTTACGGCATACAGCTTGCGATTTATTTACTTAGTGCCCATTTTTGCAAATCTCGAGATCACAGGTATTGGTAAACATAATGTGGTCAGTTGTTTTTGTTCAAAGAACTTTAGTTCCCTGTGAACAGAACAAAATGGTACCATTTCATGCTCTCTTGCGGACGAGCAGCATATCAACTGTTACTTTGAGACAGAATCAGCAAATTTAAATTGGAAGATCCCATGCATTCAAAAGTAACAGTTGGCTACAAGTTGAGGACATATCACGAACTCCAAAGCTTTGGGCGAGTTGTGTTTTATTAGTAACACAACGGGATTAATTGATTAGCTAGTTTAACTTGTCTTGGTCAAATGATGGAAGTATTGTGGTTTCCGGGATGTGATCTTCTCCCTTGTATTTGCAATCAGTCACAAATTGGCTCTAATAATTAAATAATTTGAAAGTTGATTCTCATTGTACTGTTAACCGGACTCAAACCCTAGGACGTATATCTCTGCGGGCCGAGTAAAGAACTAATCGGAAGCAATTGCTCACTTTATGTACACCACTTTTTCGCATTTCGGCGATACAGCTGCATGTGGGACGCTTAAGTAGCAGCTCACTTCTCGCCCTGCGCTCCTGCGTGATTGTTGGCTGGTCGGCCCTACGAACTTCTCGATTCTCAGCTTACTTATTTTATGTCAGTAGTCATCGCATACTCCATTTAACCTTCGTTTTCACATTGTTCGCATTTATTCCATGTCTTCGTCTACCACTCCAGATACTGAATGGAGTGAAGCGCCTCGAGTTTGATCGACAACCGCTGGATGTGAATATGCGAGTGGAGTACCTGTCGTTTTCGGCTCATGCGGATGCTCGTGGCATCATGCAACTGATTTCCCACTGTCAACCCAAACATGTTATGCTTGTGCATGGTGAGGCGAGCAAAATGGACTTCCTAAAAAGCAAGATCGAACAGGAATTCGGTTTACCGTGTTTCAAACCAGCAAATGGAGAGATTGCTGTTATCCAAACAGAACCACATTATGTTGTACAGGCACCAGTGGATTTTCTGTGTCGAACTGATGGTACGTTTCGATCGTTTGTCTCATTTCCTTCCTTATCACCATCCTTTGCTGTATCCGGTTTGCACGACCTATCCTTATCCCGTTTTCTTCGTCAGCCCCTCGTAACTTGGCTCTTGCTTGTGGGCGTGCTATTGCTAGGCATTTTACAGACGAAGCTCACACTCCACCATGCAATCCTTCTTTTCCTTTCCCTTTCTATTTGAGAAAGCTAACGTGACATGGTCCCTTATCAATAGGAACCTAGAAGCTACGTACTAGCTGTGAATGTATCTAATATCTTTTGATTGTGTATGCTTCTTATTTGGTGGGAGCTTCGACATTATAATACAACTAGTTCTCAAAGTCCAATGTGTTTAATGGACCATCGATACTGTCTCGGTTATCTCCACACCACCTACGTCGGGCATGTCACGACGACCTAGCCAATCTTGTACACTCGATCCTGGAATACCTGACCAATGCACCTTTGCTCGTCTTATTTTTAGGCCCTTTGCACATCTTACCGTCTGCTACCCATCCACCCCTCTCACAAACAGTAATTCACATTCTCTGTGTTGCGGAACCTTGAGTCATTGGCAGCTTCTGGCTTATCTTAGTGTACTTTTGTCCATTTTTCCTATTAAACGAATTGTTTCTCCTATTCTGACGTGGTTCTCGTGTACATGGCTCTGCCTTACACAGAATCCTCAATTGGTCCTATCGTAACTGCTATGGCAGGTAAGTTATAAAAAATGTCAGCAATACACCGGTACGTCGGATCGCCCATTCGCTGTCACGTGACCGCCAACAGTCGCGCGCTGCCTAGGTGTTCTGCGAAGCCGTCCGCACCTGCGCAGACTCGAACCAATGACCTTCGGGTTGCAATGCATACGTGTTATTCCTTCGTTCACTAACCGATAAGTCTCACTGTACGCTTCGGATGCTATACTTTGTGCGATCGTGCTACAACGGACCCATAGCGCACTGTTTATTTGTCGCTGGTAGGCATCAGTAGCGCATCGGCATTTCGTACCCGAGGCCCAGTTGTCACATGACCACCGGCAGTCACGTGTGAGCAAGGGGCATTGCGAGGCCACACCGCATACATAAGATCGAACCGGCTACTTGTAGGTCAGTCCTTATACTAGAACCACTGCAACCTTCCGGTCCATATGTTACTGAGGAATGCAGAATCTGCTGAAGAAGGTCCTCTGAACATTCCATAATGCAAGTTTGTTGGTGCAAAGCGATTGCAACCTACTTTTGTGAAAACGGTTGCCATTCTATATAGTTCGGCTAGTACTTCTAGCTAAGGACTCACGCCTTTGGCCATCAAACCGTTATGCAAGTACTATTTCCCCCTAAATGCCCCCTTTGTTAATTTCTCGTCTATCGTTTTGTCACTGTAATGCTTGCTACCTTCGGGTGCGTTTCCGTGGACGTCCACAACATCTCTGTGCGCGCATCGACACCAGCCAACGGACGAAGCCAAGTGTTCTGAACGCGTATCCAAGTACGCTGACATCCGGATTGAGTAAACGCCCACTGAACACCGTTGAAGATCACTGGTTGCAAATTCACCATACGTTACTATCAGCAGGCATGTCTTCACATGACGAACCAAATTTCCAATCTGGACGATGGGTCTCTACACAGTCTCTGGAACTTTTGCATGCACGCCGGCGTATTCCGGCTGGAAGCGAACATAACGAGTCTCGCAAAAAACTCAGGGCAAAACTGCGTGCTAACCTAAAGAGAGGCCGCGAACTCTGGTGGTCTCATGCATCGGAAATGGGAACATCCGCTGCGCTTGGTAACCATCGCAACTTATTCCGTTTGCTACGGGAAACGGGCAGCAGGAGACCTGGTGTTAGCGAGACCATATGCGATGAGAGTGGACAGTCGATCCACAGCTTGTCAAAGCGTTTGGAACGTTGGGCCATACCATTCGGGAAGCAATTCAATCAGTCAGTTGTCGGCTTCTCCATCGGCCATTGATCGCTCAACTCCCAGGGCCGTCCTCCTAGATTCGCCCTCACGCGCAGTAATCGAACATAGGATCAGATAACTGAAATTGCATAGGGCCGCAGGGGTAGATAGAATTCTCCTAACCATCTTCAAATTCGGCGACCTTGCTCTTTTCGATGATTTACAAGTTACTAGTGAAACTTTGGGCACAGGAAACTGTCCCAACAGACTGTAGCCGCACCGTCATACACTCATATTTCTAAAAAGGCCCGTTCGGAATGCGGCAGTCATAGAGGGATCAGTCTGATCTCAAATTGCCTCTAAAGTACTTGCATCTGTGGTTCTGTACAGACTGACTGACACTCTTGAAAGTCAGATTCGCGAGGAGCAGGTCGGGTTTTGTCGAAATCGAGGCTGCATCGACCGCATCTTTATTTCACCTCAATTATTGGATCATCGCCATGTTTATTGGCGACCCATCAAAGTCGTGTTTCTCGACATAAGATGTGTCTTCGATTCGGTTGATCGATGTGCCTTTTGGTGGGACTGTCTGCTCAGGAAAAGTATGTCCGACAATTACGTAAACATTATCAGAGCGTTGTACGCGCATAGTTTGGGCAAAGTGGGGGTTTATGGCAAACCGTTGCCGCTCTTCGATATCTCCAGCGGTCTGAGACAAAGCTGCCGCTGTGGCGTTTCCCCTTTGACTTCGCCATTGACGAAGTTATGGAAATGACGTTAGCTGGACACGACGTACAAGATGTGGAGCTGCTTCCTGGTGTGCAAAATCTTGACTTGGAGTGTGCTGTCGGCATTGCCCTCATATGTGACAGCGCCCAAATGTGCGAAGCAGCACTGGACAGATTAACACTGGCTGTCGGTTGTTTTGGGCTATTCTTTGCTCCTTCGAAATATAAAGTACTCCAAGATTGGTAGGGACCCACCCCTGCGCTGACCCTCGGTGGCGATCACCTAGAAGTCAAATTCAAATATCTGAGCAGCTGTGTCAGCCCCCTTGGGATCGAAGATGAGGCCACGAACTGTATAGCAAAAGCTCCAGGTGTTTTTGCCAATTTCCGCCACCTGTGGCGCCGACGCTGCATCACTGTAGTCAGGAAGCTTAGAGTTTACAATGCAGTTGTCCGTTCAACCCTCCTTTACGGTTGGGAAACCTGGCTCATCAGGTCGACAGACATAACGCGGCTAGCTGCCTTCCATTATTGGTGCATTTGCAGCGTACTCATGTCTGTTGGGAGCACCGCGTGTGCAATGAATGTGTTCGGCGTCGCGTGTTTGGTGCAGGAACAGCGAGTGAACCACTCAGCACCACCATATCACGCACCCGGCTCCGATAGCTTGGCCACGTGTTGCGCGTGCCAGCACACTGACCGTTGCGACGTGCGTTGTTTGCGCCCCGAGGGTGTGGATGGACGAAGAGGAGGGGAGGCCAGGCAATGACTTGATCAAGATGATTGAAAACCCTCTATTCGAAGTTGGCGTCGGTTGGTGCGTCCCGACTGCCGGGCTGAAGGACAATGAACACACTCGCTGACATAGCTAGGAACCGCCGGCCCTAATGGTGTCTGTGCTGGGAGTTTCTTTGTCATCCACCTCTCCATTATATTCCCCCATGGTTTCTGATGGCTCTATGTCTATTCGTAGACTATTGCAAATATATGTAAATATATACCCTCCAATCACGACCCCGTAGCAAATTAACAATATAATATTGAACGTTATATCACTTGCTTTTTAGTGTTATTTTCAGCATCTTTTCTTTTTGTAATGCGGCACAGTAGCAGAGGCGTGTTTCTCATCCTCGGCTAATGTGTATTGATGCTGGTGCTAAATGATCTTTACTGTGATGGATCGCAGTCTATAGTCCAAGGTTCATGTTCCTACGTGACCACACCAATCCAGTAATCGATAGCCTCATTTGGCCAGCCATCGGATCCATCCGGATCACTTATTCATTGATGCTCGAAAATGGTGCTGTCGTTGGAGCATCGTTCACTTGCTCCTCATTTCCGTTCAACTGAGTCCACTTGGCATGGTTTGCTTAAATGCATTAGAGCACACTGAAACACATGGGTTTTTTCCGTTCTTGCTGCTGTTTCTTTTGTATGACGTCATTGCATACAGATCACTCAGGCGATCCGAACCTATACCAGCATTCACTCCGTTTCTCCAGTTGTGTGGTTCCACCTTGATTAGATTCACTTTTCCGTTGGTATTTCAATCCGTTTCGCGGTTCGATTTTCAGTCGTGTGCCACACCCTTTGCTTCATTATCGGATCGGACAACCAGTGTTGTTTGACTGCATTGTTAGTGCAGTGATGTGTGTATCTGTGCATACCAATGTCTCTCGTTCGGCACGCACTGTGCATACTTCGATCATCACACGGATATACACCTCCGATCGTCGTCACGTATGATTGTCGCGTGTGTAGATGAGACAAAGTGATATGCTGATGCTACGTATGAAATAGGTGTCTTTTGAGAAGCTGTAGAACTCAGTGAAACTAGATTCTCCCACTTCTTGTTCTGCCTCATCTTTCTTAGATGGTAGTAGGCACGGGAGCTATCGAGGTGTCTTTGTTGTCCATGATACCCCAGCAATATCTGAAGGGTACACATTGATCAGTATTATCTCTACTTCGCAAATACTTAGCGCCCTAACACTTCGTCGACATTGTTGCAACGTAGATGTTATGCATACTGAACCTAGCACTCCCCTTTTTCTACCTAATCATTGTCCTATGGGTTATGACCATAAAAGTATCAGCGGTACGCTGTACCGCCACTTCGCTGCCACGCAACCACCACCCGTCGCACAAGGTCTAAGGATACTGGGATGGTCGGCGGTCCCCGACACGCGCGAATCCGCGACCTTCGAGTTGCAGGACAGCTGCGGGCCAGCATGACAAAGGAACATCAGGCTGTTACACTTCGACTGTCTCCGCTAGCTATTTTTATTCACCGTTGACGACTCCAGTTTGACTGCGGTGGTTTCATCGACCAGTTCAGTTTCCTCGGCTCGATGAACCCATAAT